TTCCCTGAATAATTTGATAAAATGAGTTAGGTGCATATTATTTTATTTTATTTTATTTTATTTTAACAACATTGGCAAATACCTAAATAGAACGCAGAAAAGTTTTTGTTTATTGTTTTCCCTAAATAGACATGTTTTTCTTCACTTCAGGTTGTGTGTGTTTGAAAGCGCCTGCAGAGTGGGCAGAGAGAGACATAAACAAGAGCATAAAATGAATTATAAACTAAAAGTCTGTAATGCTTTGTCTATAATCAGATTAACATGAGTGAACAAATGAAAAAGGTTTTGTCCTATAATGTAATTACAGCGAGTTTAGGTAATTTTGAAGGTAGACCATTTAAACTTTCAGTTTATACACATTCATACGTTTTATTTTGAAAGTGCCTTATCTTTATTTCCGGTTTCACCGTGTCCCCCACCTTCAGACTTTATACTGCTTCAGTCAGTGATGTACAGTTCCCTCCGCAGGCGCATTCACCTCTGCTCGGCACCATCAGGGGTTTTGATGAAACCCACTCTAAASCTGCTGCTGTGAGATGAAAAACACTCCAAACTTCTAATGTAACGTTTTTTTTTATCTATTTCAGTTTAACAGACCATGCATCAGCTGACAAATACATGCTTTTTATCTCTGCAACCTAATAAAAGTCTCAGTTTGGACACATGAGGAGCATGGCTTTGTGTCTGGGAGCGCCACGGTTTTTCTGAGTCTGGGACAGAACAAGGGAAACCGTTTCAGCACCATGGACAGCGGCGGAGATATGAGTGTAACAGCGGCACCCAGCGGCCAAATGTGTTACTGCAGCAAAACTAGTCTGAACTAAAAACTGAACTAAACTAAACTAAACTAAACTAAACTAAACTAAACTAAACTAAACTAAACTAAACTAAACTAAAATAAAATAAAATAAAATAAAATAAAATAACTTTTGAGTAGTCAGATTGCACTTTGAACAACCTCTGTTTAAAGAAATAAGAGTTTAAGCCTGACAGAATTGAGTAACATACATCATAGAATTTATTCAAAGTGCTGTGTGCTGATAAACTGACAGCACTGTAAAGGTCTGATATATTTGCATGAAACTCTATGAAATGTGAGGATTTACATTTGTTTTATGGTAGCAGCAATCCACTTTAGTTTAAACTGTGTTTGGATGTGTTGTTAGCTTGTCAGACATGAAAAACAAGTTTGTTAAGATAACTTGCCTTCCACAGCTTCTTTAAACAAACAAAATATTTCATTAATAACCTGGGACAATCCCTCAGCCCCACCTGATCCTGTTCTTTGTTTATGTTAACGATTAGCAGTCACTTTTCGCCTCGGCACAGATTATTTAGCCTTTCTGACCAGCAAACCATTGAAGCAAATATGTATGCAGGCGAGGGCAGAATCTGTTGAAAACGAGAGCGAAGATGACAGAAAAATCTCCAACTCCCTTCATGCTTCACTTGCTCTTGTACACATGGATTTGACTGACAGCTCACTGCTCATACAGACTGTCCCCCTCTGCGGGTTCACAGAACATTACTGCTCTATCAGCGGGAACCCACTGTGCAAACATTGGATTTTAACACCCTTTGATTGTGTGTTTGTGTGTCTGCGCGCGTGTGTGTAGGAGTCATTTAAGTTCACTGAAACGGATAAGTACGTATGCAAAGATAGACATCACGTGCTCATGCAGTTGCAGAAATCAGTCAAGTTCAGACAGCAAAAACAAGCTGTTAAAATGTAGCCGGTAAAAGTGGTGTAACAATTTGCACTCATATTATTTTGATAAGTTACACCCAACATTTCTGAGCTGAAACATCAAGGTTTGATGGTGAAGACCCCAAAGATGCAGACTTTCATTCATTCTAATAAATTTCAAAACAGTAGCAAAACAACAAGGGCTGATGAGGTTAGAATTGTAAAGTAACTCAGTACAAATAATATACTCTACTTAAGTAGAAATTTTGGTTATCTATACTTAACTTGAGTAAGTATTTTTCAGCATACTTTTACTTTCACTCATTACATTTTTACACAATTATCTGTACTTTCTACTCCTTACATTGTTTATAAAGATAAGAAGTAGAAAGTCGCCACTCCTTTTTTATCCTAGGTAAAAAAATACTATCCTGATAAATTGTATCCTGGATAGAGTGAATTTAATTGTGGTTGGATGAGAAGTATAAATATATACCATTCTGACGCTGTATTAGTTTGTACAGAGACCATCACAGCTGCACGCCGTTAGAAAAATATTTTTTGGAGAAGTCACCTCCTAATAAATGTCATTTAGGAAAATCTTAATGGCTCACTTTCACTCAATACTTTTACTTTTAATGCTCAAGAAATTTTGTGTCAGAAATTTACTTTTGATACATAAGTACAAAAAAAGATCAGATACTTTAAGACATTTACTCAAGTAATATTCTTAGAGGAGACTTGAACTTTTACCAAAGTATTTTTATGATGAAATTTTTGCACTTTTCCTCAAGCATCACTTTGAGGTACTTTATGCAACAATGGATGAGGTGAGACAGGTGATTTTAATGATAACAGGGAACAGGTGTGAGTAGGCAGAGCAGCACTGAAGGGAAAATGCAACAAATAAACAGGAAATAAACCTGAAAAAATTCTCAGAACAGMAAAATAAACACTGAAACACACAGATAAGGACATAAATTCACCTAGATGTAATAAATAACCTACAACATTGAACCCACATTCTTACACTAAATGTTGCCTTTTAAAATGTCTGTCTGCCAAATGTCCTTTTTATCATCTTGAAAGAAAAAACAAAAATAAAATATTCCGGATGGGGAAATACCACTGGTCCTGTTTTTAGTAGTCCACTCCTTCTTCCTCTCAGCTGGTTGAGCTCTCCCATCAGCACATGTCACTGTCATTAATGAGCTATGTTCAAACAGAATGTGACCCAAGTTTCAGACAAACAGCATCTGTAAAAGCCAACACAGACAAAGCAGGAAGTCTGTTTTTGCAACAAAAAAATAAACAGCATTTATGTGTGCTCTGTGAGTTTTTGTTGTTACGACTTTTCCAATTCCTCCAAGATCATCAAAACAAACACTGAAGCCATTCGACAAATCCATATATTTGAACTTGAACTGAAAATGATTTAACACTGAAATTCAAAATCATATTTGAAATCCTTACAGTGGGATCCAGGTCAAGTTCAACTCATTTTCTGAGCAAAATTACAAAACCACAGCCTGATTTAGGATGCATTAGCTGTCTGACAATAATAATTGGGTGAATGTTCCAATATGAATGTGTCAGGAGAAAGGAGGGTTTATCAGGAAGGCAGGGGTTTGTTAGCATATTAAAATATCTCACAAATTCATAGAGTGAAATAAATGAGAAAACCTTTGTCCTTGTGTGTTGAATGCAAGAGAATTAGCATTTTTTATCTGACTCAAAGTGCACAACAAAAACAAAACAACGAATTAAAGGATATGACATTATAAACAATCTGTTTATTTCAATGATGTTACGTAAACAGATGGTATAAAAACCTATAACTCACCAAAAAAAATCACAGAAACAGAGAAAGAAGGGAAATAGATTTMAAACTCATCATTTTCCTTGTTTAGATGTTGGTTTTAGATGTTTCACTTCTTTTGTCTTTCTTGTTTACTAGTTTCTGTCGGCTCTTTCACTGAGTAGAAATAATGATTATCACAACCACAGAGCAAAAACCACGGAGCCTAACAGAATCTAACATTGTCTGACTTATTTACTGGCTGCTGAAGGAGAAGATAAAATAAATTCAATCATTTGGAACCAAAAGCTTCTAAAGCATGTCTTGTTTCCGGCTCCTGTGTGGGTTTTTCAGGTTAGTGAGTGAAAACTGAAAAGCAAAAAAGATGATTGTCTTGGTATGAAACACTGATTTTTATTTATTGATTTATTTATTTTGCACGTTGATCTGCTGAGCCTGTTGTTATTTGGTAGAACAGAACCACATGATGTTTTGGTTTATCTGTTCCAACACGCGTTCCCATGCGTGACAGTGATTACAGGCAGAACATGCAGCTGGAAGCCTGATGCTTCCCAATAGTTTTTAGGAGTGGCTCATCAGCAGATATGCTCAGGATAATTAGCCCTGATAATCTCACAGCAAAAGTGGCGTCTGGCATCCATTTTGCTCGTTATTGTTAAAGCTCATGGATATACATTCAAAGCTCCTGATTTATCTAAGCGAATCGGGATGAAGCAACCAATGCAAATCTGAAYATTTGATGATCACAGATTAGAAGCGGATTATAAAAATTAATCACCACACAAGAGACTAATGTGTGAGCAAGCCGTTCTTGATCTCAGGCAAATAATCTGATGTGTTTTTAAGATTATTACATTTTACTTTTTCATTATTCGGCTTTAAGATTGAGAACAAATAATACAGAGGAGAAACTGATTCCCTTTCATTTTTCTTTATAAAATTAAACTGAAAAGTTGGGCCTCCACGGCAGTGGCGGATCTAGGATTTTTCAGTATAAGGGCCATCAAGGGCCCACAACATTTATAGAGGGGCCAAGTGTTTC